GTCTTCTGTGGACACCCAGGTCTTTTTACATTGATCAGTTCAGCAGTGCTTTCTTTCTTTCTCAGGATGGATCAAACTGTAGGTTTTACCACTCCTAATATTGTAACAATTTCTCAGATGTTTTTTCTGTTTTTACATCTTAAGGATGTCTTGTTTCACCTGCATGGAGAGCTCCTTTGACCTCATGTTTACTTCACAGTAAAACCTTCCAAATACAAGCAGCACACCTCAGATCAACTCCAGACCTTTATCTGCTTCAGTGAGAATGACATAATGAAGGGATTGACCACAACTGTCCATGAAATAGACTTGAGTCAATTGTCCAATTACTTTTGGTCCCTTTAAACACAGGGAGGCACATGTTAAGGAGCTGAAACTCCTAAAGCCTTCATCCAGTTTTAATGTGAATACTCTCAAATGAAAGCTGAATGTCTGGACTTTATGTACATGTACATTATAGAACTATAACTTGAATATATTTCAGTAAACAGGTAAAAAAAACTAAATTTGTGTCAGTGTCCAAATATATATGGATCTAACAGTATTGCAAAACAGTTTCAACAACAAACTAGCTCTAACTAAATTCCTCAGAGTTGAGTGATTCCATATTTTTTCCCTGTGCTTGGTCAATAAAAGTAACATTCACTGACTTCCACAATGTTTTCTCTTCATTTCTTTGGGTGTTCCTGAAAGCCAACAAGTTGACCTTTGGAATGACCTTATTATTGTATCATGTTTCTGATCTGAGGTTGTTTTACAGAATAAAATGTCTGAATGAGTGCTCATCTAAGACTGCTGATTCCATACATTTTGCTAGGGGTTTTACAATTAACCTGTGGGCCGTCTAAGGTCAAGTGATCTCTGTAGATTTGCACCTGTTTTCATGCTGTGTTCACATCGAACGCAATTTCAGCATCAAAAACACATCCAACGCATCAAGTTGGATGCTTTTGCACGTGGTCAGACGCTCGTCAAAATTGCTCAGCATGCATGTAAAGCTGACGCCCCTGACGCTCAACACGCATGTGGTGTGAACGCAGCATCACCGTTCAGTTTGAATTTGACCTTTAAATTAAAAACATTTTAAATTAGATTAGTTGGATTGTTGCTTAACTGGATTTGAAATAAACTGATGTTACTGAACTGGATTATTATTAATATAACTCAGACAGTTCAGAATAAAAAGTAAAAGTGATTTGGAATCTCTGTAAATGGAGATGATTTATTACGTTGCAGTTTTGCAGCTGGAGAGAACTTGAGCTGTTTTGGTTCTTTATCAATGACGTGAGCTGGACTGAAATGAGAAACAAGCAGCACAAAAACATTTGGTTGTAGTAAAAAGTGAAGCATAATGTTTTTTTTTTCCAGAATGTGTTAATGGTGTGTGAGGAAAGAAAACAACCAGAAACCGAAGTGAGGCTTAAAAAAGTCAATATTTAAAAAAGTCAATGAAGTCATTTCGAGCACATAATCTGAGCTCTAATTGATCACACAACGTGACCTTTAGTCTGTTTTCACCACCTGACTGCATCCGCCTGATTAATCCTGAGCTTCCATCTGCTTCAGCTGCGGGTTGTGACAGCTGACTTGACGAAAATATCAATTTGTTTTATTATTTTCTGTTTTAAAAACTTTATTTGTGAGAGATTAAAACCTGCAGTGTTGTTAGTCTGCAGGTGTTGTGTCTGCTCAGGACAGGAACTGCTCCTCCTCTCTGTAAATGTGCAGACCTTCTCTGGAAGAAAGAATCGCTCTGTGGACAAGTCTGAAACCGAGGTGGGCAGAACTTGAAAGGGACCCTGACACCTCATTGGCATCAGGTGCTTTATGTGCCTGTACCTTTGCTCTGGTCTTCTACTCACTGCTTGCCTTGCACTGTTCAGAAGTGGCAGGAAATTGGCTGAGAAACTGTGTATGCTCTTTAGATAATAAATACATTTCCAAGAGGAAAAGCTGCACTGGTAGGAGAAGATAAACTTGAATAGTCTGAAAAAAGGAAAGGTAATGGTGAGAGGGGAGCTGAAGGATTGTAACCCCCTCTTTCAGCATGGGATCACTCCTAAATGACTCGAGCATCGACTGAAGCAGTAAACCAGGACCTGACCCCTCACCGACCTGCTGAGGACACGTATGGGAGCAAGCAGAATCCAAAATCAGGTCCAGCTGCTGATACTGGTCCATGTCCAGAATCTACGCCAAGCTGCTGGTCAAAGACCTTGGAAAGAATTAGTCTAACTCAGTATGGATGGGCCCAGATAACCCCTGTGAAGGTGCCGGGCCAGTTTGGTTGAGTTTTGATTGATCATCAAACTGACTGAGATAATAGTTCTCTGTGATAGTCTTATTGAACTGAACTGACTTCAAACAGTGAATTGAGAATTTTATTACAATATTTAGTGTTTTTTTTATAGATATTTTGCTAAAGGTCCTGTCACACCATGACGTTTTAGACAACTTATGCCAGTTTGTTTCCAACATGTTGCTGTAAGCTGCAAAGGTTAGGTATAAGTTGTGAATATGTTGTCAGAATGATGGCCCGACCATAATTTTAGACATGTTCAAAATGTTTCAGCTGATGCCGACGTGTTGCTGATAAGTGAGACATATGTTACAGGTCTGCTACGGATAATTTCTGCATCACTTCACATGTGTTTCAGGTAAGTTATTCATTTGTTATTCATAAGTGACATAAGTTCAACCAGTGGGATACTTCTAAAGCAGCAGTAACTTTTTTTAAACGCCTGAGTAGCTACCATGAATTAAGGCTCATGTGAAAACCAGTTTCACTTTTTCACAATGATTACTATGTATAATAATAATGTATACACCCATGTCCCCTCGCCTCATCTTGCCACTGATTGACCTTTGACCACCTGAGGTCAAAGCCCCCTCTTCGCAAACTGAACTCTTTCCAGCTCTCATGTAGAGCTATTAAAAAATAAGCCTTTTCACTGTACACTTTTCTCTAGGAAAGTTTGTGTTCTCAAGGATCTGTTGTTTTGCTGATAAAACAAGTCAAAACAAATGTTCTGTTTGTTTCTGCCTGTTCCTCTCACATAGATAATTCAAATGCATAAACCCTTTCAAATGGTTGATTTTGTGTCTTTAATTTTTTAAGGGCTCTTTAGTAATAGTTATTTTTATAACTCGGCATTTGATGTGATTTCGTTGTTTAGATCATGTTTAGTAATTACGATTAAGTATTAGAATATGTTTGTTTCATCCAATGCTTTTACTTAGCTTTTTACATTTTCCGTTTTTAATGAACATTACTTAAACATTTTATTAGTTTAACTATGTTAAACCTCACTGTGTATCATAACTCTGTTCTATATGTACTGTTAATATAAATGCTCCATATTTTTAACAGTATCCTAACTATATTTTGACTATGTCCTGTTGTGTCTGTCTATTACAGAGATTCTTAACCTATGGGCTGTGGCCCAATTGTGGGCCGTGAGCGCCACCTTGAGGGCCTCAAAAGAACAACAGTTTTTAACTTTGGGCCACA